CCAGCATCCTCCGAGGCTTGCTATCAGGGTTGGCCCAAATTAGCCCTTCCTGCCCTTGTATGGCAATTCACGTGCAGGATCTGGTGGCGCCTGCTGTTGGTCTGGAGGCAGTGTCCCCACAAGTTAATCAGGCTTCTGAGAAAAACCAATGGCAGTAAAAAAAATAACCTTCAAAAATAGATACTGGCTCCCTATCTACAAATGCCCTGGTCATCTACACTGCCATGTCACTCTGGTGAGCTGAAGGCCACACACTTAAAATATCTTCTCCCCAACCAGCTTCCCCTCCCAACCACTTCCTTCTGTCTCCCTGTGGCCATTGTCTCGGCTCTGCAGGTTCAACCTTTTGGCTGCTGGTTTCCTCGTTTTCCCTGAACCCTCCAAATGTGGCAGCCACTGGAGTCCTTCCTTACTCTGCCCCAACTGTTCTCTTCTCAGGACTGCACTAAGCTCCTCCCCCTTCAGCCTCGCTGTTGGCCACAGCGTGGATTCTGCAGCCTTGATCTCAACTCTCGGCCCTCACAGGATAGCCTTGCATTTCAGTGTCCACCCTCTACTCCACAACAGTGCTTGACCTTCACATCTGTGAGCAAGCTCGCCCAGGTGTCACACGCAGCCACATTCTACAGAGTTCCCTCACTAGCTTTGGTCCCTGCAGGCTGCTGGCTGACCAGGGCCACCATTCTCATATGGCGGCCCTCTTGTGTACAGCGCTCTCTCCCTGGGGTGTGTGTCCTGGTCTGCAGCTCCTGCAGAACCCCCTTCTCCAGGAACTCCCCCACAGTGACCCCCTCCTTGGTGGCTCTCCCTTCAGCAGAATGATAGCTGCTATCTATCTGCACTTTCCAATCTAGGACTTGGCACATTCCAGCTGGTGGTATACCCCATTGCTGGATGGTGACCTTGAGGGTGTGAGTAATCTACTTCTGCATTCTAGAACCTAGTATATTTAAATACTCAAAATCAGTTGGTTTTGGGGGGGGGGGTGAATGAATGAATGAACAAATGAATGCACACTGATGGTAAGAGGCGAACACCATCGTAACACAGTTGGAGATGTAGCTTTGTTGCTAGAGTGCTTGCCCAGCCTGCACAAAGCCCTCGGTTCAGCCCCAGCACTGCAGAGGTTGGGTGTGGTGGTGCACACCTGCAATCCCAGCACTCCGGGGTGGAGGGAAGAGGACCAAAAGTTCAGAAGTCATCACACAGCAAGTTTGAAGCCAGCCTTGGCAACCCTGCCCCAAAAGGAAGGAAGGGAGGGGAGGAGGGGAGGGGGAGGGAGGGAGAAGGAAGGAAGGAAGGAAGGGAGGAAGGAAG